ATCGATTTTTCCATGCAACAACTGTTAGTTGTTTGAGAAAGGACGCACTTGGTGGAAAATCATTGAGCGACGAGTCTTTAGCGTGCGAAGTGTTCCTGTCGACCGATAGATGTTTAAACATTGAACATTTTTCATTACATGAAATTTCATTGGTACGGTCAGATGTCTTTCTCAAATATATACGCAAACTTTCCGGTAATAAAGTTGACTGACATGGAATTCCTAGAATAATAGCCGATTAGTGACGCTCACTCACGATATTTATCCTATTACTCCTTCTTTCTCTACGATCTGTTTAATAACCACTGTTAACTGTCTTGTCGTGAATATTGGAATAATTAAATCAGAATTCTAACTAGTAGTGTTGATCACCCAGAAACATTTTCATAACATCAAAAGCACTCCTTAAACACTTCAGTAACAGAACTAACATATTTTACCATTGCAGATCCGAACTTGCAGAGTTCGTTCTATTACTAACTTATGCAAGGGTTACTTTTAATTAAGAAATATTTCTATACTTTATACCTTGCTCAAATCGTTTTAATAATGGTATTGTCAAGTTTATTTTTATTTTTGAATTCGTCTTTAGCCTAGATTTCTTTGGATTTTTTCCATTTTTTGTATGACCTTTAATTTCTTTCACACTGCAACCATAATGTAGTTTTTTTATGCCTTTTGGTGAGTTACACGGTTGACATGTTGTTGTGTAAAGTAAAGGAAATTCCAACTGTAAATTGTAGCGTTTTAATTTAGTTTTCAACAATAATTGTTGAACATTTTGTGTGGTTTGTAATTTGATATTGTGATCAAAATGAGTTGTTACGGTCAAGTGATAAATGAGATGATGTGGAGTACACATATACCAACCTGCATCCGCTAATTTTAAATCGATGAGACGTACAGATTTTTCAAAATGGTCCAACTCAAATTGGAAACGAGTTGGTTGAAGCATTATCAGCGGGATTGAGTCTGCAATGGTAGGAAAAAGTTTGGCAGTACGACTGGCGCCATCTTGATCGTCGAATAAGAAGTCGTACGGCTAAACATGAAGAATACAATCAAAAGCCGAAATAGAATATAATTCCTCACATCTATCACTTGTTCAATTTGTCGTTTTGAAGGTGCATTTTCTCCTTTACAGTGTACGTAGATGTTAGATGATTCACATCCGCTTTACGACTAACATCTATAATCTCTTCATCATATTGGTTTCACTTATTCTTTGAATTACAGATAGATCTTTTGAATCAAAACGGCGCTGTCATTTTTAATTAAATTTCAACGTTTGCTTGAAATGATGTTTGGATGTTATTTTATGCTTTTCATAGTTATTTGTCATGGCTGTGAACAAGAGTTCAAGGATCCAAGTGTTCCTTTCGTTGGACCGTGTCGTTGGAAATCTCTTGATCAAATTAAACATGCAGAGAAACTTGCTAAACTGTATCACCAGTGTTTAACAGGCGAAGAAAAGGCTCGTGGAAAAGGTTATTGGCCCGTTCAAGCCCTCGTGACACAAATTGGTGAAACTGTACGATTGCCTTGTAAACGGTGCGTAGATTTAGCTTTTGGAAAAGAGAAAATTAAATGGC